TAGCTGTATAGTCTGTCACACTTTAGAATTGTAGTTAACACTTACCAAACCCTATTCCCCCATTTCAAATCAAATCTTCTAAATTCTTTAGGCTTGTTTAGGCTCCTTTCAAGGTAGGACTGTACTAAACACCTCTTGTTTAAGAATATTTTCACCCCAGGCCTGATCAACAAGATACAATCATAATCAAAGCAACCTTCAAGCCTGGAACCTTGGAGAAGCTCCAAAGACAGTATGTGCCATGAAGAAGAGGAAAAAAGGAGTCTTAGGACTTCCAGCTCAACTTCGGGGTAGGTGTACCTGAGGGGCAGACCCGGGAGTGGGTGGTTCTCGGATTGGACCATAAATTGTGGAACCCCTGGACACAGGGCAGACATGCCTTTTCGTACTCCTTGTGCCAGAAGGCCTTCATTAAAGAGCTGTTCTGTATCTTATCTCTACTAAATTTGCCTGGATTTTTTTCTACTCCCGATCTTTAGGCAACAATGCCATTATCCATTCTTCAAAAGTAGGACGTTGACTACAGCTAACTTCTCTCTCTCCACCAATTTGTTCACTGAGAAGTGTTTTCTTGTGCTGCATCATGAGTGCAAGGTCACAGAACCACAGAATGGTTAAAGTTAGAAGGGACCCCACAGTGGGTCATTGTAGCAATGGAGTTATGGGAAAAGTCCTGCCAAAGATGGACTGGTGAATCAGAAGTTTTTAATGTTGTTTAAACACGTGTTAAGATGGCTTTTTGCAGAGTCACTGCTGCTGTTTCCCGATACCTTCTGTAAGACCCCTTATCTCTCAGGCAGGAGTGTCCTGGGAAGATGTCCCAAGGTGCTCTCATTGGTCCTTTGTTAACCCCTTCCTTATTTGGCTGTTAACTCCTTACCTGATTGTAAGACCCCTCACCTGTGATTGGTCCCCTTTGACCCTCCCAAGAGCTATATAAGCCCCTACTTCACAATAAACTTCCTCTTTCGTCCGTCTTTCCCCTGGTGGTCTGGTGAGTGGTCCTTTGTGGGGTGTCAGGCCACGTGGGTGGGGGGCAGGGTGGAAGGGCATACACCTTCCAGGTAATGGACTGAAGCCAGGCCTGAAGGATTCTCCCCCTCCAACTCATCTACCGTAGGTCATCTTGTCCAACTTCCCTCTTCAAGCAGAGTTATCTTAGAGCACATGGCAGAGGATCACACCCAGATGGTTCTTGAATATCTCCAGTGAGGGAGACTCCACAACCTCTCTGGGCAATCTGTTCCAGTGCACAGTCACTCCCACAGTAAGTTAGTTCTTCCTCATATTCAGATGGAACTTTCTGTACATCAGTTTCTTCCCATTGTGTCTTGTTCTATTGCTTGGCATCACCAAGAGGAGCCTGGCTTCATCCTCTTGGCACGTTCCATTCAGATACTTACAAACATTGATGAAGCTCTCTCTCAGCCTTGTCTTCTCAAGGCTGAACAGGCCCAACTCTCTCAGCCTTTCCTCAGGAGAGAGAGGTGCTTCAGTCCCTTAACCATCTTTGGGACCCTCCACTGGACCTGCTTCAGAAGCTCCACATCTCCCTCGTCCTGAGGAGCCCAGGCTTTGCTTTAGGGTAACACCAAGTTAAAAGGCATTGAAAAACATTCTTGGGAAATGGAGATGTGGAAATGAACGACCACAGCCAGTGAAGTCACATCTGGGCTACCTGAGCCATGTGATTCTTCACTGATATCTTCACCTAAGTCTGTAATTGTGCAACTGTGTGGTGCACTGGTTCAGGAAAATAAAGTAAATGGGTCTTAACTTTACTAAAACACTACTTTTCCACCAGTAAGGTAAGCCTTCTGATCTGGCCCATCATGCAGTCAGAGACCATAAATGTTACCAAAAAGAAGGGAAACATACAGCTGCAGGAGGAGAACGTAGTGAAATTGCAGCAGCCCAAGCTTTAATCAGCTTTAATTTCTGTGGAATCACACCTTTAGTCACCCAAGCGAACTCTCTTTATTTTTAGTGTTATTATATATTGGTTTTCCGAAGTTTTTAACACATATAAGTACAGGTCAAGAAAAAAAAAAATCTGTGTCTTATGCTGTGAAAGTGTTGGATTGAAACAGTTGTGACCTCTTGATGCTGGTGTGACCTGGTCCACTGTTTGGAAAATCGAGCTTCCCATTATTAATGTTCAAAATCCAGAATTACTAATGCTAAGTAGAATATTGCATTACTATCCAGATTGATATGACTATCTAATTTCCACTCAGCAAAAAAGATCCACAAACCTGTAGTAAAGATGGATTTACACGCTAGACTCTCCTTGCTCTGCATTCCCTGCCAGTCACATCAAAGAGTTGAAAGAACACTGGGGAGTTTTCACACATGAAAGAACAATCTTTTCCACAGTCACGAGCCTCAGCTATTTCTTTCATATAAACTCTCTTTCAGAATTGACAGAATTACAGATTGATAACTAAAATCAGAAAAGTAATTGAATCAAAAGAGACAGGGAAGAAAAAGTATTTTCCTGTTGAAGTTCAATATTAAAGAAATGAAGGTTCAAGAAGGCTGATAAAAGGAGGAGCTGAAAAAGAAAAAAAGCCAAACATACTCTAGCTCAATTACTCACTATGGGTGAGTGGCTATTTTACAGATTCATGAATTTCTGAAGGCTGTGTGGAGTCACCAATGACTGCACAGTTTGGTCCTTTTGTATAGTGTAGTCTGTAGAGGTTTGCCCAGTTGCTCCTGCTGCAAGCACATAATTTTTCATTGAACTAGAGCCTATGTTTAGAAAAGGCCTCTAGGACTGACTCAAGGACTTTAAGTGAAGCAGACCCACTGTGCCTTTAGGGTATTGTTCCAGTTGCTTCCCACCCTCAGGGTTAAGCATTCATTTTTTCAGATGGAATATGTTTGGCTTTAACTTGCAAGCAGTTATGGAAAATTTCTATCCCAACAGGTGTGGGGGGAGATGGCAGGCCCATAGAACCCCCGAGCCCCCTGGAAGTAGAGGAGCTTGAAGTTTTGCAGGGTGTCAGGCCTTTCCCTTGAGAAAAGTAAGGCTAATCGCATGTTCCCATAGATACAGGCTTGAGTGTTAGGCAGTACAAGGCCAAAGCTGTTTGATAATGTGCAGGTGTTAAATTCCTGGGTGTTTTGTGGGAATATGTTTATGTTCTGTGTGTGGGAAAGTAGAAGTTAGTAAGCTCAATAAAAGGCTGCCTGCTGCGCTGAGCAGGCAGACATCTCTTTGTCTCACCATCCTAGTGTGTCTTGTGTGTCTTTCTTCCCCCTTCAGACCAGGCCTAACGACAAGATACCCTGCGACAAACAGGTTTCAAAGCTTTTTCGAAGTTTTAAAATACATTTATACAGAAATTGTCTTCCACTTCCTCTTTAAATGGTGCTTTGGTGGTCTTTCACAGAATCATAGAATCATATATAAATAGAGTTGGAAGGCACCCAAAAGGATCATCAAGCACACAACAGCTCTAGCTAGGACTCGAACTAAATATTTAGAAAACAGCGAGAGCTGCCAGGAATAAGGGAGAGGAGGATTTAGGAAAGTGGAATTCTCTTAGAAGTCAGAAAGTTTCATAGCGCTAATGGAACACTTGAAAGCCTACAGAAAGCACTTTGGACAGAGAAATGAAGAGTTCTGGTGAGAAGCTTAATACTGGCCCTATCCAAAAGATCGTATCACTCTAGCTGCTGGCTGAACTGTAGCAACACATGACAATTTCAACCCTTTGACATTTCTGGTAACTGTCCAGCATCCTGCAGTGAAGAGCTTTTACTGAAAAGGTTCCCTTGTAAGGTGTCAGCCTAGGGTAGTATCTTTGGCAGGAAAACCTCCAATCTGATAGCCTAGTTCTGGACAACACAGTGACACAGTTACTGAAGGTGCAATATTCAGTAATATTTACCCAGCAATTGTAGCTTTTGTATGTGTCTTTGATGGGAGTACTGAAAAAGGTTGAAATCTCAGATTTATTGTAACAGGGAGAGTTCAGAGGATACTGAAACTGAAACCATAATACCGTTGAAAGCTCAACAAAAACTGATATTTATTGCCAAGAGGTGGCCAACAAAACAAACAAACCTGAAAGAGAGGAAGGAGGAGGAAAATAAGCCCTCGGTACGATTCCCCCAATTACTCAGCTGTTGCTTATAAAGTTATCTTACTGACCCAGAATGCCTAGAACTACCCATAGCAGAAGCTGCATTCCCAGAGAGTCATCAGGCTCACAAAATAGCGGGCGTCCCCACAAAAGGCAACGTTGTCTTTGATGTGAAGCTTGCTGCCAACCTCCAATAAGAGCTAACTGCTTTTATACAATTAATTGAGTGACGTCTACCTGGGCTGGTGTGATCAGCAACGCCCAGTTAGAGGCCCTCAGTCCCACCCCCTGGTTATGCAAGTGGGATCTCTTCTGCACATGCATGAGTAACTCGGGATTCCCCTTGCGCACGTGTGTTATACCTCAGGGGTCTTTTCTAATTGAGTCTAGGGGTTTTACTTCATCTCCCTCTTCTTCGCTTTGCCTTTCAAGTGCCCTTGAAAGGTGATCAGTCAATCAGAAGACAGCAATTAATTTGAGTTTATGCAAGACACTTGCTTCAAAGATGAAGTTCCCATTTATCAGTGCTTGTTTTCTCATAACTTGGCAGGAAAAAGATAAACTTTCACAGGTGGCTGGGCCAAACGCAGACCAAAAGTATCAGGATTTAATTAAGCCCTGATACACTTATCCAGCAATGACTTTTAAGTGTGACTTCAGAGCATATAATTTACCTGTTCTACCTCTGTTTTTATGGATGCAGCTGAACCCCCATTACACCAATAATGACATATATTACCAAGAGGTCTCTCTAGTGTCTCAGGAGGACACCTCCTTCAGTCAATGAGCAAATGTTAGGTGGGGAAAATAAAAAAAAATACAGAGAAACAAGGATCAATGGGTCTTTTCCCTTGATTTTGTATTCTTCATTTGTGCAAATGATACAGAAAAAGTCACTGACAGGGAATTAAGTTTATTTTAAGAGCTCTCTAAATGCAAACCCAGTGATTGGTTTGAAAGAAGGTTACAAAAAAAAAATCACAGTCATTTTTAGCTCACTGAGGCCCTGCTCTTTGAACCTGTTTCCAAGAAGGCTGCGTCCGCTCTCTTTTTACTTAAGTTTCCTTTACAGGCACTCACTCTTGGGAGTAGTGATGTAGAGACTGTGACCATCAGCATCAGTTCCCTCAAAGATGTAACCAGGTGGGTCTCTGTAATAGGCCATGCATAACTGTGAGTGAATGAGGTGCCTGATGGGTCTGAAAGGTAGTCAAGAAATCCATTTTGTTTTGCTGGGAAAGTCAGCTCCAGAGCATGACTGATAGGTTTTAATTTCTTGCACAGCCAAGGCTTATATTCTTCCTTCATTACAGAAGAGCTATTGAATGGCTCAGTAATTTTTTTAACGTGGACCAAAGGTTGACACATCTTGGCTGGCTTACCATTTGGGTGCTTGTAATATGTCCGAGTAGTGGTATAAAGATCCATTATTTCCAGAGGAGAAAGATATACATCAGGTTTTCTGGTGAATACAGGAAGGCCCTGTAATTTAAAAAGATTTGCTCTCAGTCACACCAGGAATCTGTCACAAAGCTGCCTAACTGTCTGACCAGTGCTGCAGCCACAAGACTGTAGTTTTTTACCCTTCCTAGCAACCTTGTGCAACTTCCCCTAGAGAGCATTATGATTACTGGTAGGAAGTTGAAATTAAATAGTCTTGGAGCTAACCCAGGGGGTTTTTTGTTGGTTGTGTTGTTTGGGATTTTTTTCCCTCCTTCCAAACCACACTAAGAGTCGTCAGGCAAATAAGCTTCCAGCTAACTTTGCACAGGAAGGAAGTCTAGATTTCAAAGTATTATAGAGTAAATGATGCAATTAGGTATCAGCATATTTGAACTCTCCACTCCAAATAGAATTTGCCCCAGGCGCTCTTGTTTCTCTGGGGCAAAAGGAGATGTCCAGGCATTACTGCAGTGGTGAGATGCTGACCTTGTGCCCATGCCCAGGGTATGTAATTTTCCTGGAGTAATGGTCCAACAGGATGAACCATGAGTATATACATATACAGATGTGTTATTGCAGCGGAAGTATTAATAAAGTATTAAAAAGTGAAAAACCTATGAGATTCAGCCCATGTCTAAGCAAAGGCTTGCTCAGAGATCTCACATTTCAGATGCCAACCAAGAGTTACCAAAAAGCTTTTTAGGTTCTCCCATCTTTGCTGGAAAACAGTCTATGCATTTTAGATGTAACCTCAGCTCTTGCAAAATATTCAGAATATGATAAGCAAGTCCATCTGTCTTAGGCATTATGAATTTATTTTACTTTGTGTAAGCCAGCAGTGCTACCATTCCTTCAAAATATGTTACAGTTTTATCATAACTCTAATTCTTATCTCATGGATATTAATAGTTTCCCATGTAGCACAATCTTGAAAACATTAGAGGGTACAGGAGGGAATGGAGGATATGAACCATATGTTGTTGGAGGGTTAGGCAGGACCTATACCCAAGCAAGACTAAATTAAAATTAGATTACATATCTGCAGACAGACAGAGACAGCTACGTGTGTAGCCTGGAGGAGATGAGAATTTTGAAACTTTAAGTTGCAAAGCCATCTGACATGAACTTCGATATGCAATAGCATCATCTTAAACCTACAGTGTCATTTGGGATATAGTGTGTTTAGTCGGAAGGAACATGACTATACAGTAGGAAAGGTAATTTAATACCAATGTAGCACTATTATATATGCTGTTCAAATATTTCAGTTACAATAATTAATTGAATAGAATATTTCAATTTTTCACACTTGAGTGGGTGTGCTGGTTTCAGCTGGGGTAGAGTTAATTTTCTTCACAGTGTCTTGTATGGGGCAGCGTTTTAGATTTGTGCTGAACAAGACTGGTAATACAAATATGTACTTTTTATTGCTTCACAAAGTGAAGGCCTTTTCTGCTTTTCACACTGCCACATTGATGAAGAAGTTGGGGGTACATGGAAGGCTGGGAGGAGACACAGCTGGGACAGGTGACCCAAACTGACCAAAGGGATACTCCAGAACATATAATATCATACTCAGTATGTAAAATGAGAGGAAGAAGGAGGAAGTGGGGGATATCGGGACTGATGGTGTTTGCCTTACCAAGTAACAGTTGCATGTCATGGAGCTCTGCTTTCCTGGCAATGGCTGAACATCTGCCTGCCCATAGGAAGTGGTGAATGAATTCCTTGTTTTGTTTTGCTTGTGTGCATAGCTTTTGCTTTACCTATCAAATTGTCCTTATCTCAACCCATGAGTTTTCCAGCTTTTACCCTTCCAGTTCTCTCCGCGATCCCACTGGTGGGACAGTGAGTGAGTGGCTGCATGGGGCTTGGTTGATGGCTGGGGTTAAACCACAACAGCAGGGATCAGTAAAACCTAGCAACGCTTAGAGAATAGCACAATGAAAACCTGTATGTTTTGTTGAACCTGGGCCTTTAAAAGAAAATTCATTCAGTATGCAGCTTGATTTTTGAGGGGGTTTGGTCAACGATTTCCATTTGCAGTGTTTTGAAAAATACGGTAAATTATAACCAAATGTGTCTGTGATACATTTTATTAGAGCTCTGGAGCTACAGCTAAGGTGCTGACCTAAACACCTATAAAAGACAAAGATATACATCTGTTTCAGATACAAAGAAGTTAAGGATATCGAAACACAGAAAGAAAGATCCTTCACTTGCACTAAGCTGCCTTCTTTTATTGGTTTCACTGAAGCTGTTCCAACAAATACCATCTGGTGACATTGCCTATGCAGAACTAGGTGTTCAAAATTGTGTAAATGTGAGTATTTTGCACTTGTGGGTCATAGACTTCACAAATCAAGTCATTCTAAATGAGGAGCATTTCCTGTGTGCTTGGTGTAAAAATTGCAGTTTATGGTGTTGCAAACATGCAGCTGCACTAAAGTCTGACTTTCATTCATTTCAGCCAGGTAATTTTAACGCTGCATTCACACACGTTTCCCGACTTCCTGACTCCCTATATCATTTTGAATTTTAAGGAAAAAATTACCTCTGTACCTTGGGACAAATCTCAATGTCAGCTCCAACCATAAGCTATTACATTTGCACAGCATTATAAAAATAAAATAAAATAAGTAAAAATAGTTTAAGAAATACACAAATTCTAACTATCTGCCTACCCATGTTAGCTAGCTGAAAGGTGTGCAGAGGGGAGGGAAAATCCTCTAAACTTTCTACTTATGACTTACTACCTAAACTAGCATGGTTGTTGTAACTGTGTGACTGAAAGTTTTCTCCCAGTGCATGCAGAAGAGAATTTCTGCTGGTGGAGAAGGAAATAAGCTCCCACAAAGACACGCCTTCTACACCGAGATACTGCTACTGAGAAACAAGGGTGTAGATAGATGCACAGTTTGCCTGTTTTACCAGCGGTAGAGCTTGCGTGCATTGTGTGTCCATATTTCCTGGGTACATCTCTTGTACCTTCCTGGAATAACTCAGCAGCATACACAGAAAGGGTCCCATGCTTCATGAGCTGCTCAGACTAGTAAATTCTACATATTTTAGATGTGTCTGATCCACTGCATGTGTGGATCAGTATACCTGCAGTATACCAGGATTACGTTCAGTCTATCCCAAAGATGATATTGCTGGATACACCTGTAGGAATTCCCATGACCCTTCTCTACACAGGATGCCTGTAGGCCTGTCAGATATGCAAAGGAAATGACTTCAGAGACCTCCCAGTGGTGCTGTATGACCAACAATGTCTGTCTGTATGGTTTCTTCACAGCTTGTTGACATACATATAGAGAAGGAATAAAAACGTCATGCTTTCTTTTAATCTGTCTTCTTCAAAAATGAAGTTACCTGTGAAGTCCTGAAAGAAGCTGCAAGGAGATATACCTTTCTAAGTAGTTCTTATATCCATCTTGGCACTGAGGATGTGTCTTATCACATAGGAGAGGCATGGACCAACTCAAGAGATAGTATAGGAGTCATGTTTGTAAGTGGAGGTCAAATCCATACTCTCATGTCTCTTGACAAGCTTTTCAGATGGTTTAGGTTTCTGTGGCAATACTTCATGAGCTATGTAACCTCTCTTCTAAAGAATAATGTATTTATTTCTTTTGTGCTATGGAAAAAAACTATGTTCCTTTTTCTGGACACACAAAGTAATTAATACTTCCCCTTCTCTCAACAACATAAGAAAGTCTGGATACGATACAAGCAGTTAGTGAAACACATGAACCTTTTACATTTGGAAACATGGACTCTGCAAAAGGAGCTGAGGCAGTTCTCAATAACCCCAGGCAGGTCAGATTCTCCCTTCTTTCCACTTCGTGAAGGTGATGGATCTACATAACACTATCCCTGTTCTACCATGGAGTTATACCACGAGACATAACTCCTTTTAAAGGCCAATAATTATAGCAGGCTATCTAGTGTGTACAGGAAACATATGAGGAAGGCAACAATAGCCTCCCAGACAACACACTGTACACCAGTTCAGGCCAGGATGGGGAGATAATATCAAAACAGTTTTACAGCAAAATACCAGCAAAATGGTCAGACAGTCAGCTTTTTCTCAAGCACTGCTTTGAAAGAGCTATTTAAAGATACTGGGGTAGTGTTACTTAAAACTAACAAAACATTGCAGAAACAGATGGAGAAGAAAACAACATTACCATCCAACTTTAATAACTTTAACCTCTTTCACTGCCCACATCCTTTGGTACAGGGCAGAGAGTCTGCTGCCTGGCACCAGCAAATTCAGTCTCTTATGTCAGAGTACTTTTCCACCTATGTGCAAAATCTGTTTAGACCACAAGTAGCCAGTCAGGAGAAACAGTCAGTACAGGATCTATTCTAATATTAGTATTCCACTTTGCATCTGGAGTAATGACGCATCTGAGTGGGCAAGAGCCTGAGCCTCTGAATATACTGTATTAGTTATGCATTTTAGCAAATAAACAAGATTCTCAAAAGTCTGTGTACAGCAAAAGGGAAGAGAATTCACATGGCAATGTAGGAGGTATAGGGGTAAAAACAGAAATGCAGAAGCAAAAAAATAGCCAAGAATATCAAGAGGTGCTTATGTAAGTATCACACATTACAGCCCCTTGGCATACATCTGTCAGCAATTTGAAGCCATTGTGTTTTTTAAGAGGGGTCAAGAAAAGACAAGCAGGAATAGAACTGACATTCAGCATCCTCAGTAGCAGGGAAAATTCAGTAATGGAAAGGGTCTTTCCCAAGCCACTTACCGCACAATCCTATGTTTGAAACAGTCAAGTCTGTTCTGGAAGCAAGTAACAGATTACAGGCAGACAATTCTTCAACATTGTGATCAAGTGTTTTCTGACAGTGGGAATACCTTTTTCCACTCTGACTACTGCAATACAATAGAACCTGCAGCAGAGATTACAGATGAGAGATTGATCTGCTGATAAACCAGAGGTAACCTATATCCAGTACACCATGAAAAGTGGTGCTGCCTGCAACTCCCAGACCTTATCAAGGGGTCTTGCAGTTACAACACTCAGTGAAATGTTACTAGAGAAGGCTGGTCATGAATCAGTGTTTCCTTGCCTCACAATCTCTGCAGTTATTCTCATACATTCTGTCAATTAATTTTCTCTATGGCCACACAGAACCAGAGTTTTTAGTAGCCTTCTAACAGGGGGTGGCTGCATTTTTCCACTACACCTTGGCACTTTCACATTGGGTATGTTTTCTTAGCAGTGTTGCCCAGAGGACAGAAAAACTTGCAATCCGATGACTAACTGTTCATTCTCTGTGTTTTTAACTCTTACAAAGGGGGGTAAGTTTTATATATTTGGTAGAGTACATGCTCTGAAGAAGTAAATGTAAGTAGTTTCTGTCTTAGTTTCTTACCAGTTTCTTACTAGTCTGAGATTTTTTTTCAGAAGTTGTACAAAATCCAGGGGTAATAGTTACTGTGGAAATCATTAGCCTTGTCTGAGCAAGAATAGTTTTGCTGATTGAACAGGAAGTTTCTAAGGACTCCTTAACAAACCCCACATGGTGACGGCCCCTCCTTGCCTGCCTTAAGAGGACACTAATGAGCCCACAGTTTAGTTATAGCCAGACACAAAGCTGTCTAGCTGCTTTGGTTCATTCTGGAGATAGAAGGCATTTATAGAAGTGCAGGCTGCTCTTTGAAACCCTCTGATCTGTTCAGTTGTTTCTGAAAACTTCAACAAAAACAGAGACATCCCATTGGGCATTTCAAACTTCATCAATCACATTTGTGATTTAAATCAACAGTAAAAAGGCATAGGTAGGGAAACAAGTTGGTAGAGTTCCATGTCAGGATGGGTACTGCAGGAGCTGATAGAAGACCTCACCAAGCTACTCTGTATTATTTACCAGTGGTCCTGGTTAACTAAGGAAGTCCCAGTAGACTGGATGTTAGCAAATGTGATGCCCATCTACAAGAAAGGCTAGAAGGAGGACCTGGGGAACTAGGCATGTTAGCCTGACCTTGGTGTCAGGGGAGGTCATGGAGCAGACCTTCTCAAGTGTCAGCATGTCACAAATGCAGACAATCAGAGGATCAAGCCCAGCAAGCATGAGTTTGTGAAAGGCAGGTCCCAGGTCCTGCTTGACCTACCTGATCTCCTTCTATGACAAGGTGACCTAGTTAGTGGATGAGAGAAAGGCTCTGGATGCTGTCTACTAGGACTTCAGTAAAGCCTTTGACACCATCTTTCACAGCATTCTCCTGACATAACTGACTGCTCCCTGGCGTGGACAGGTGCATTCTTTGCTGGGTAAAAAACTGGCTGGATGGCCAGGCCCACAGCATTGTGGTGAATGGAGTTACATCCAGCTGGTGGCCCATCACCAGTGGGTGTTCCCCAGAGCTCAGTATTGGGACCAGTTCTGTTTAACATCTTTACTGATGACCTGGACAAGAGAATCGAGCGCACCCTTGGTCCATTTGCAGATGGCACTAAGTTGGACAGGAGTTGATCTAATGTTGATCAGATGACACTAAGTTGGTCTGCTGGAGGGCAGTAAGGCTCTAAAAGTCATCTGGACAGGCTGGATCCATTGGCCCAGGCCCATGGTATGAGGTTCAACAAGGCAAAATGCCCTTTGGTCATGAGAGAGACTGAAAACTTGAAAGACTTAATGTAAACCCGACAGAGTTAATGTCTCAGACATTCAGTAGAAGAGAAAAGGAATGTTACCATGCTGACTAGATAAGGTGCTAGATAAGGTACTGTTAGAAAAGAGCATCTTGGGAGGCAGTATAGCCCTTTTCTGGGACCAACTTCCTCATCTTGGGTAATTAGCTCTAAAAGCAAATTTGATGCAGCATCACAATTGTGTCTGGTGAGGGAGGGGGTTTGAAACCACAAGCCCCTCCAACATCCTTCTGAAAAGCTTGAGAATAACAAAATGCGTATGTGCAAAGACTAGTCTGTAAATAGCGGGACTGTGCACCCACCCTCTGTTTACCTGCCATCCAGAGGAACCAGATTAGTGATAGTGCTGGAACCCTGGATGGTAACCCAGATCTTTCTTCTCTACCTCTATTTCCCTATCTTTTTTTTTCTCTTCTCAAAAGTTTAAATTGCTGCTGCTGCGGGCTGTTAAAAGATCTCTGTTGCTGCATGTGTTCAGAAAAGTTTAACCCAGGACCTGTTTACAAATGTTTAAATCATTCCTGCTACAGGTCATTCAACCTGTCATAAGGTTTAAATCATTCCTGCAATAAAAAAAAACTTTTTAATTGATCGTTTGGCATTGTTTCACCTTAATTTTGCCCAAGGTCTCCCAAACATTGGCTACCTCAGAGTAGGCAGTCCAGGACTGCCCTCTAGGGACCCGACAGGTCACAACACCCCAGGCAGTGCTACAGGCTGGGGGAAGAGTGGCTGGAAAGCTGCCCAGAGGAAAAGAACCTGGGGATGCTGCTTGACAATAGCTGAACATGACCCAGTAGTGTGCCCAAGAAGGCCAATGGCATCCTGGCTTGCAGCAGAAATAGTGTGGCCAGCAGGACTAGGGAAGGGATCACTCCCTCTACTGTAACAGGGAGACTACCGGGATGAAACAATTAACACCGCTCAAAGTTCAACGAAACAGCGTTTATTACAGACAAGCAGCAAACAAAACGAGAAACCGAGAAACAGGAAAAGGAAACAAGCCCCAAGACAACCTCCGACTCACTCAGATGTTAATCACAAGGTTGTCGAACATACCAACCCCAGAATGTTTAAGATTCTCAACATAATGAGCTTCTGCATTCTCAGGGCATCAGTAGGCTCAACACGTTGGCAGGCATCCCTACAAGAAAAACATGGTCTTCAATGTCAAGCATGCTGCCTCTCCTGAGGAAAAAAAACTGTCTGCTTTTTTTATAGTTAGTCTGTGACATCTACCTGGGCAAATGTTGTCAGCACCGCCCAGTTAGAGGCCTTCAGTCCCTCCCCTGTTATGTAAGTGATACTCCTCCTGCACCTGCATGCTGCACATTGAGGGTCTTTCCTAATGAGTCTGGGGGCCTACTTCAACACCCTCCTCTTCACTTTCTCCTTCAATTGTCATTGAAGAGCCGTCAGCCAATAGCCAGGCTCCAATTAATTTCAGTTTACACAAGATGCTTCCTTCAAGGTTGAAGTTCCCCTTTATCAGTGCTTGTTTTCTCATAACTTGGCAGGAAAAGAACAGACTCATGCAGGTGGCTCGGCCAAACAGAGACCAAAGGTAACAGTGTCTAATTAAGCACGAATACATCTACTCAGCACCGGTGAGGTTGCACCTTGAATCCTGTGTTCAGTTTTGGCCCCTCATGACAGGAAGGACATTGAGGTGCTGGTGCATGTCCAGAGAAGGAAAACAGAGCTGGTGAAGGGTCTGGAGCATAAATCCTATGAAAGTGGCTGAAAGAGCTGGGGTTGTTTAACCTGGAGGCACATAATGGGGGCTCTGGAGAGACCTTATTGCTATCTAGAACTTCCTGAAAGGAGGATGTAGTCAGGTGGGGGGTCGATCTTGTCTCCCAGTCACAAGCAACAGAATGAGAGGAAATGGCCTCAAGTTGCACTGGGGGAGGTTTAGGTTGGTTATTAGGAAAAATCTCTTCAGAGGAAGGGTCATCAAAGATTGGAATAGGCTGCCCAGGGACATGGTCACCATTCCTGAGATATTTAAAAGACACGTAGATGTGGCACTGAGGGACCTAGTGTAGTGGTGGACTTGTTAGGTTTATGGTTGGACTTAATAATCTAAGGCCTTTTGCAACCTAAATTATTCTATGAGGACAAATGGGTGGTGTTAGCTGTTAAGACTTTTTTAATAGCCCCTGGCATCTCTAATTCAGTTCAGCAAAGGCAAAAGTGATATTGCTCAAGACTGTGAGGGAGAACAAAGGAAGTAAACACCAAGATCAGGCGGCAGCAACTGTTTTAGGAAAGGGAAGCTCTCAGATTCATATTAAAGGATCAGATTCCTATTTTTTGTAAGCTCCTAGTGTGGACAAGTGCTTGCAACATCACTGCCAGCAGCAAGTAAGTAAATTCCATCAGAGAAATGGGCACACTATAAATATGGGGACTTCTTTCAAACATCAAGACTAAGAAACAACAAAACTGAACAAAAGAAATAGCCCAGCAACCTACAGCAACTGTCCTGAGGAAATGTCCACATTCCCTTTCCAATCAAGATCACCATATTCAGGCCTCCTTGGAAATCAGGCACTCATGTTACTGTGTACAAAGTAACACACCAACTGCAGAACAAAAGAATACGCCTACAATAACATCAATACTCTCCTAGACAACATTTCTTCTGGTTTCCCAGAACCCTCTCCAATCCAGAAAGCAAGTAAAAGCCAAGACCTTGACTGTGCTTCTGTGGCCATGTATTCTCTGATTAGATCACATCTCAACCTCCTGAAGTGCAAGAAAATGCTGCTTGCCTCCACTATAATAAGTGGCTTCAGACAGACCTTCATGCTGTCTTCACACAGCCCTCATCACTGTACCACTGCATTGTTGTTCTTGTCAGGCTCCCCTTGTGAAAACCAATAATTTTTTCTTTTCTCCATTAACCAACTCTCACACATACATTGTCTAAGTCATGGTCCTTACTCTATTTTCCATACTTGGCAGTCAAGATGCCATCTGTGCCTTCTTGTACACTTCTTCTGGCTTAAATGAGCCTTTGGGAACAGTGAAGGGATAAAGGGAGTATCACTCCACATACTTCAATGGAATGCAGGGCTTCTTACTCTTTTTATAGACCCCAGTGGGTAGGTGTGGCCAATGGTGACATCTGCAAGGGACAAAAAAAGCACAGGAGTTAGGCACTCACAGGTAGCTGATTAATAGGAGCTCACTTTATAAGTCAGCCACAGAGTCTCTGAAAATGCCCAAGGCCAAGGTTGGATGGGGTTTTGAACCAACTGTTCTACTGGAAGGTGTTCCTGCTCAGGACAGAGGGATTGGAAATAGGTGATATTTAAGGTCCACTACAACCCTAACAATAGTCCAAACTCCCTGCCAAGGTGACACAGGAACACATCCAGGTGGGTTTTGAATGTCTCCAAAGAGGGAGACTCCACAGCATCCCTGGGCAGCCTGTTCCAGTGCTCTGCCACCCTCAATGTAAAGAA